TACAAGGAGTCCATCGGACGCTGCATGAAGGGCGACAGGGACTCCTGCCAGCAAGAAGGTGTCAACTGTCAAGTCATTTGCGCACTACCTGTTGCTCGAGCCTGGCTGCTCTTCCGAGGGTCGCCACTCTAAGCGGATGAGAATTGGGTGCGTGGATCTGAGTGGCTTCGGCGGCGTTCGTCGACCTGACTCTCGTCATCCGAGGGTCGCTACTCAGGACAAGAGAGACGTCGAGGGCTTGTGCAGCTTGTCTGTGGTCATTGAATTGGCCTTGGCCGATCACGCCTTTCCATGCAATTGTTGTCGAAAGCCAATGTGATGATGTGGCATCTTTAGAAGTCACGTTTTCCCGTACCTGGAGCACTAGATATTGCTGAGATATAAGGATTTTTTTTTTTTTTTTTTGTATTTTCAGTCTGAGGGAGAAGGGCGGGACACGAAGGGCAACCGTAAAAGGTTACAAGATAAGAATCCGATGATTTTACATTGAAGGAAGCTCGGAAAAGTATTTGACCATCAACCTTAAAAAATGCCTTCCTTTAGCTACTAGCCAATGTATATAGTCGTGCTCATTAGTAGATCATGTTGATCCCAGCTTCTATTACGTGTGGGAAGGACCTCGGAACAATTTTTGTACATGATACACCTACTTCAAAAGTGACGTTATTCCGCCCTTTCGAATTTTGTTTCGCCGGCAAATTGAAAAAAAAAAAAAAGCGTTAGGATTGTGACGTTTAGTGCATATCTGTGAAGGCTCGAATGGTCGCGGCTAGCACCGTCTGTGTTGGGTGGGTGTTCTGCATTGATCAAGAAGCTGAAACAAGTTGTCCTCCTTATAAGCAGGTAAAGTTTAACTTCGGATCGCTCTTTGTTTTAGTTTTTCTTTGTGTGCATGTCTCTTAAAATATTTTCGGTCAGTATGCGTGACAATGATAAAGGTACCATTTCGCAGTAAGCAGGTGTTAACACATGACGTGTTATTGAAGAGTGGCGACCTATTGATAGTTTTGCGACATTTTTTTTTAGAACGAAGCTTTTAGGCCCATGTTTCCGGCTTGAGCCGCGTCGTCATCCGCGTCACCGTAACCGCGCGGTGCATTATGTGACGCGTGACATCACTGATGACGTCATCCGCATCGTCATCGTCACTGATGAAGTCATCGTCACGTAACCTCATAGGGGTCACGTGACTCCCGTGAGGTCACGTAACCCTGGTGACGTCACGTGACCCTCGTGAGGCAGCGGCACGTCGCTCGGAGGGAGGAGTAGCACACAGAATGAGGATGTGAGGAGGAGGGCGGAAGGATGTACCTTCGCCTCAGTACCCTTCCCCTCCTCTTCCTCAAGAGCTGCGCTCTAATTCGGTGTTACAGGGGGTTGTAAGTGACTTTCAATTTTAGAGCGCAGCTCTTAGGCGCCCGTTTCCGGCTTGAGCGGCGTCGCCGTCGCCGTCGGCGTAACCGCGCGGTGCATTATGGGAAATGTCCCACAATGCACCGCGCGAGCCCCCACCCCGGGGGGTCACGTGACCCCCGAAGTCACGTGACTCCCATGAGGTCACGTGACCCCCCAAGGTCATGTGACCCCCGATGACGTCATCGTCACTGATGACGTCACCGGCATCCGCATCGTCATCATCACTGATGACATCATCAGTAACGTCACTGATGACATCACCGACATCCGCATCGTCATCATCACTGATGACGTCATCAGTGACGTCACTGATAACATCATCGGCATCGTCACGTGACCCCAGGGCACGTGACCCCCACACAGGTCACTTGACCCACAACCCCAGTACCCTTCCCTCCTCCTCCTCAAGAGCTGCGCTCTGATTCGGCGTTACAGGGAGTTGTAAACGGCTTTTAATTTTTTTTTATTTGGCTACTGTTTTGTTATAAACACACCTGTTAAAGGGGTATCCACACGAAGGAGAACTCCGCGGACGGATGTCGTGACGTCAACAACCCGGGAAACTCCGTTCCCGGCTCCGCCGCGCGCACCTGCGGAGCTTTCAGGCTGAGAGCACGAAGCCTCCGCGCCTCCGCCACGGAGGAGAACGGCGCCGCGAGGCGTCAAAAAGGGATGACGTATTTCTCACGTGATGCGCGCTCCGCTGAGGAAAGTGGCGGGTTTGTCCTTAGGGCACCATGAAGAAATCGCCAAATACCCCATAAAGGGGTACTCCGGCGATTTCTTCATGGTCCCCGATTTGCTTGAAATTTTGCTAAACTCGCCAAACAACATCGCCAAAATAATATCCCAAATATTAGGTCAAAATAACTTTTTTTTCACGAAGTTATTGAATTTACAATTTTGGTCCTCACCGTGTTTTTCAAACTGAAGGTCTCTACTGGCAACAACGAAAAAGTGACGTCAGTGGAAGTGCATTGGTTCACTCTCTGGACTGTAGAATTTGTTCCCAACTGATTCGAAGCAGTGTCATGGTGTCAAATGAATGCTTTGGAAGCTCGCTCCAGTCCCAGCGCTCCAGCACGGAACAAATGATTGGCATATTCTATTTTTTAGACTGCTCGCTCGACTGGCAAGCTTGCCTTCCACTGACGTCACGGCACTGAAAAGGGCGGGTGTATTTGAATGTTGGTTTTTGCATCATTTTCATTTGCCGATTTCGCAATAACTATTATGAATTTCACGATACTAAATAGCATTCCGGAAAGGGTAACGGCCGGGGAGTCAGAAAATATAGTTAGTTGAGGTAGCTCAAAAAATCGCCGGAGTACCCTTAAAGAATATACCTTATATTTCCCTTCCCGTCCATTTTTATAATGTTTTGTTTGCATTAATAAAGAGAGGAGTGTTCATTGATGCCTATGTGTGTTCGTTTCATTGTTCAAGACATGCAATCCCATTGATAGAAAAAAATATATATTATTATTTTCACGAACAATAAATTCAAGCAGCTATAGGTAATTTTTCAACAGCGCCGATATTGTTCGACATCTTATATATTTATTGTAAAGGAGGAATTAAGAAAAACTTAAAATTGTATGATAAAAAGAAGCTTTTGACTTTGATAAGGTTTGAAGTGCCTTTTTATTACTTGAAACATTTGAACTTTCCGAATAACAATTTAATGGTTAATAGGTATTTAAGGATATGTACTCAAGAAAGTACGCAATACCCAGTGGACATACGGATGTATATATGGTAAGGACAACAAAAAAGCAAGTATAATAAAGCATAGAACATTGTGAAGTTAACAGGTACGAAGTGATGAGGGAGATTTGAAAGAGAGTTATGATGCCAGGTTTAATTTTTAAAAATGCACTTCTGGCGTTCAAACCCAATGTGCAAGCGGGGCTTCAAGCAAAGCACTGCGGGCTAGGTGGGCTAGCTCTGAAAGCACGTGGCATAACAATGAATCAGGGGGTACAATGTGATATTGGATGGTTCTCATTCAAAGGTATAGCGATGCTACAAACAAGATATATTTTGAAGGTAGACTGGGAAAAGGATGAGGAACGATGGGTATGAAAAAGTTTAGCTATTTACTTGTAGTCTGTCAACTCAAGACGGAAGCGAACTACAAAACTCTGGTCGAAATTTGCGGGTGGTTACTCTACAGTGATGGAGGCGGCATCTGAACTTTATGAAGCAGGTTCTGTAGAAGGGAAAATACTGGTTTGGAGCATTCACCGACGCTTTTGAAGCAGATGCCAACATCTGTTAGGGCATCACCCCAAAATGAAAAAGTGATTGCATCGCTAAAGAAGTTCATCCATAATAATGATTGAGCGTTTTTCTTTCACACCGAATAATATTACTTATTACCTTTGCAATAAAAATAGATAGGGCGAGAATCTCCCCTCTCACTTTTACACCTGGTAGTTCATTTAGCCTGTAAATATAATTTCTGTAAAATTATTGCAAAAACCAGCATATCCGCTAAAGTACGTCCATCAATAAAAACGCACCCCCCCCCCCCCACACACACACACACACTCACGAACAAGATTTAAGGACCTAACCAGCTCAATACTTTAATACTATATACAGCAAAAGCACTCACCCACAAATATGAAAACCTACACTTGTGCCTTGAAAGTGACAGTCCTCTTTAGCGCGTTCGAACAAGGGTGAAGTCAAAGTTCGTGCTCATTCGATCAACAGCTACGCGGGAACTACCTTTGGAGTCCCACACACAGCTTTGCGCCTTATTTGCGGCCGAAAGTTTCGGTGTCGCCCTCTAGCCGAAACCCGGCACAACCCAAAGTGAGGACTGCCGACGCTCCCGACGTCGCTTCAAAGCTGAATGGGGCTTTCGTTCAGCGAGGCTGTCTCACTAAAAACTTTTCATTTTGTCTTTTTTTTTTAATTTTCTATACGGTGTTTTTTTTTCTCTCATTTGTGCGGACGATTACAAATACTGTGCGTGGAATTGTCTTCGATCCCCAGGTGGTTGGTTCGAATCCCAGCCGAGGTGCCCCCAATCTGAAGGAGG